ACGTCAGCCTTCCTGCTCCTCTGATGCTGCTTGGCCTGCTGTGTTCATCCAGCTCTACACCTTGTTATCTCAGACTCTCCAGCATCTGCAGTTCCTACTATCTCTGAAACAATTAGATACTCACCCATTTTTAATTAAGTTACGCTGTTCTAAGACTGTTTAAAGAGGCATTTACAAGGCTTCAGATGATTCAGTTTAAAAAAAAAAGACACAGAACTGAAAACTTATTTGTGCCAGAGCAGAGAGACAACACATCATTAAAAAATTAAAAAGAATAAACTAGCTATTTAATTCAACAAATGTAGGACTAGAGGGCACAAATATGTAATCAATAAACCTCAAACAAAAAAAAGAAAATGGAAGCATCCCCCCTCTACATGGTTACAGGGAATAGATTTTGAGAGAAAATAGGTGAATCAAGAAAGAAGCTGAAATAATGCACATGAGCTTTGAAGAGCTATTAACTTCACTGCCAGCTTAACAGGGCAACAGTGGAACAAAAAACTTTGTGCGAATTAGGACACAGGTAGCAGAATTTTGGATGAGCTCAAATTATCATGGGTAGAAGAGGGACAAGAGTGGCCAAAGACTCCATGAAGCAGTGGGAAATAGAGCGCATTCTACCAACAGGATGTGTGGCAGCTTCTCAGAGCAACAGAGAAAACAAAAACTAAAAGGAATCAACTGTCAACTCCCATTCAACACAAACCGGATTTCCTCCTCAGGCCAAGATTTTCTGGGACTGCAAGATAACAAACCTCCAGTTAACTCATCCAACATGCAATATTGTAAATGTAAAGTCAAAGTCACCATAGTCACCACTGGACCACAGGCTGCTTTCTAAACAGAGAGAGAGAGAGATGACCAGTGAGTCATCTGCCAGTGTGAGAATTGAACCGTCGCTGTTAGCTTCAATCTACGTTACAGAGCTAACTGATCCACCCAATGCTGTAAAGTGTTCCGGAACTGATACATATTGTCCCATCCCTATTTTCATATACTTCTAAATTTACATCACATAACAAGTCCAGTTAACCTGTCTTTTGGAAATTCTTCTATATGCTGTTGAACTCTCAGGTACAAAGGATAGATTCCATCAATGTCCATCATATCAAGCATCTGTACTTGAAGGATCCGAGAAAGAACACAACCTCTAGGCAAGCCAGAATTTTCCACAACATGAATACCTGGAAACAAGGAATTATTTCTGCATTACTGAACAATACATTGTTATCCATAATACATCTTCAATAAAAATATCTGAAATGGATTTTTAAGCTGGAGTTAGGTTTTAATGGTCTTGCATCAAATGTTACATGCATTTTACATCCAAACATGCATCCTTATAAGTTAACTGAAAGTTTGTAAGTGCAAGTGGAAAACTGACATCCTTCATTTTATATCTATACTATAGAAAAAAAAAACAAACATCAACCATTTTGCAGACTCTGTTACTGTCAGTGAGTGGGACTCTGTGCTTATTGGATTTAGCCAGATCAAGGGCCAAAAATATGGCAGGTATTTAAAAAGGGGCCTGACAGCCAATTCACAGGCTCTTATATCCAAGTCTCTGCTGCAAATCTGTCATTGCCGCCACAGAGCTCACAAACCCAATTACACACAATGCGAGCCCAGAGATTCACAACCATCATTTTGGGAACACCTGTTCAAGAATATAGTATCAATGTAACAGCAAATTTATACACCAGTTAATATTGATCTAGCTACTCGTAGATTCAATTTTTTTTTTTTTTTTAATTTGGTCATGGGACATAAACATCATAGTGTAACAGAGCTTTGGTCCAACTCATCCTTGCCGACCAGATATCCTAAATTAATCTACTCCCATTTGCCAGCATTTGGCCCATATCCCTCAACCCTTCCTACTCACCTATCTGTCCAGATGCCTTTTAAGATGTCGTAACTGTACCAGCCTCCACCACTTCCTCTAGCAAGTCATTCCATACACACACCACCCTCAGCATGAAAACGTTGTCCCTTAGGTCCCTTTTAAATCTCTGATCTCACCCAAAACCTATGCCCTCCAGTTTTGGGCTCCATTCCCTGGGAAACAGACCTGACTATTCACCCTATCCATACCCCTCAATTTTATAAACTTCTATGGAGTCATCCCTCAGCCACCGACGTTCTAGGGAATATAGCCCCAGCCTACTCAGCCTCTCCCTTTAGTTCAAATCCTCCAAACCTGGCAACATTCTTCAGTCTCTTCTGAACCCTTTCTTGTTTAAGATGTTTCCTTTAGCAGGAGAACCAGAATTTTACACAGTATTCAAAGCGGCCTAACCAATGTCCAGTACAGCGGCAACATGACATCCCAACTCCTATTTTCAATTCACTGACCAATAAAGCAAGCATACCAAACACCTTCTTCAATACCCCGTCTACCTGCAAATCCAGCTTCAAGGAACTATAAACCTGCACCCCAGGGTCTCTCTGTCCGGGAACACTTCCCAGAACCCTACTATTAAATATACAAGTCCTGTCCTGATTTGCCTTCTAAAAATTCAACACCTCATATTTACCCAAATTAAACTCCATCTGCCGCTCCTTGACCCATCAGCCCATCTGATCAAGGTCCCGTTTTACTCAGATAACCTTCTTCACTGTCCACTACACCCACCAATTTTGGTGTCAACTGCAAACTTTCCCTCCTATATTCAATCCAAATCATTATCATTGACAAGGCCAGATTTATTGCCCATCCTTAATTATCAAAAAACAATATAGCACAGGAACAGGTCTTTTAGCCCTCCAAACCTGCGCTGACATATTTACCCCTTGCATATTAGAAGTGTCTTCATTTACAGGGACAAGATCTATACGCATTTAGAAGCAAATGGACTTATCAGCAATAGACAGCATGGTTTTGTGCGGGGAAGGTCATGCCTAACTTAATCCAGTTTTTTGATGAGGTGATGATAATGGAGGGAAAAGCAGTAGCTGTTGTCCACATGGACTTCAGTAAAGCCTTTAACAAAAGGTCCCTCATGGGGACACCAGTACAAAAGGTGAAGTCACATAATATCAAGGGTGAGCTGGCAAGATGGATGTAGAAATGGCTTAGTCATAAAAGGACAGAGGGTAGCAATGGAAGGATGCTGATTTCCACCTGAATCTGACCTTGCAAAAATGCATCATCTCACATTTGTCCAGATTAAACTCCATCTGCCATTTTTCTGTCCATGCCTCCAACTGTATCCCCGGACAATCCTCCTCACCATTTGCAATTCCAAATCTTTCTATCATCTGCAAACATTCTAATTAGACCAGTCACGTTTTAGACCACTAGGAATCATAGTGGCCCACAAGCCCACATCCACTCTACGACAAAACACTCAAGGATTAAAGACCCCATTTCCAAAACATGCAGAACCAACGTGGTTTACAAAACACCACGCAACGACTGCCACTAACATTACATCGGACAGACAGGAAGGAAATTAGCCATCAGAATACATGAACATCAACTAGCAGCAAAACGACACCACGAACTTTCCTTAATATCAGTACACTCAGACAATGAAGGCCATCAGTTTAACTGGGACAACATAACCATAGTAGCCCAAGCCAAACAGACACAGGAATTTCTAGAGGCATGGTCGTCAATCCATTACGCAAATCAACAAACATAGAATTGGACCCCATATACAAACTCATACAAATCAAAACCAGAAATGATGCCACTCACCACAACAGACCAGACCACATAAATTCCAAGCAGAGTAGAACAACATGACTTTATCAGAGGCCTCACTGATGTCACCAAGCATGGCGACAAAACGTCTGAATGAAAACAAGCCAGCTCGGCAAGCCAAGTCCACAACCTGAGCTACAAAATCTTTGCTAAAACTTTAAATCATTTATGTAAACCACGAACAGTAGGGATCCTCGGACTGATCACTGTGGAACGTCACTAGTCACAACCCTCCACTCTAAAAAGCATCCACCGCTACCCTCTGTCTCCTACGACTAACCCAGTTCTGTATCCATCTTGCCAGCTCACCCCTAATACCATATGACTTCACCTTTCATACCAGTCTGCCATGAGGGACCTTGTCAAAGACTTTACTGAAGTTCGTGTAGACAACAATTAACCACTTCTCACTCAATCAAGTTTTTTTGATGAGGTGACAAAGATGATTAAGTTAGTGAGACACTACCTTCCTCGCATAAAACCATGCTGTCTATCGCTAGTAAGTTCCTTTGCTTCTAAAGGCATATGGATCTTGTCTCCAAGAATCTTTTCCAATAATTCCCCTACCACCAACGTGAGGCTCACAGGCCTGTAATTTCCTGGATTATCCTCGTTACCCTTCTTAAAAAAAGAGATGCTCGATTGCCACGTGTAACGTTGCTCCCAAACCACACCCCTCCCCAAAATTAGGTTCAAGCACTCTCTACAGCCTTAGTTATTCGATTCACCAGGACACTAGTGAAGAAAAAACTTTTCCAGATACAGAGTACCTTCTGAATGTAGCTCAACAGCAGTAGAGGCACAAACCCTCAACATTTAAATTGTATTTAGACATGCACTTGTGATGCCAAGGCATACAAGGCTACAGACTAAATGCTGGAAAGTAGGAGCAAAATAGTTAGACGATTGCTTTTGAATGGCATGGACACAATGGGCTGAAAGGCCGTGTTCTGTGCTGTAGTTCTAACTTTGTGACTCGTCCCAGCATGATTCAATTGAAACCCATCCCTCCAGAACAGCTCCTTTTCACCCCAAAACGTCACCAGTGCCCCACGAACTAACTGTCATTCTGACACCAATCTTCCAACCACTCATTTAACTCCTCGACTTGATTTATCCAATGCCAGTTTGTCCATGGATCAGGTAGTAATCAGAGATTAACACCTTGGAGGTTCTGCTTTCTCATTTAGCTCCTAACTGTTCAAAATCTTCCAGCAAAGTCTCCTTCCTAGTCCTTCCAATCATAGAATCTGTACAGTGTGGAAGCAGGCCATTCGGCCCATCAAGTCCACACTGACCCTTCGAAGAACATTCCAACGGGACAGGTCTCCCTACCCTAGCCCAATAACTCTGCATTTCCCATGGCCAATCCACCTAACCTGCACATCCTTGGATATTATGGGCAATTTAGCATGATCAATCCACCTAACCTGCACATCCTTGGACTACGGGAGGAAATCAGAGCACCCGGAGGAAATCAACACAGACATTCGAGGCTGGACCTGAACTCGGGTCCATGGTGCTGAGAGGCATTCCTGCTAACCACTGAGCCACCACGATGCCAATGTCATTATAATCAAATTTAAAGAAAAAGAATATGGTTGTGCAAAACAGGCAAGTCAGAAGATTAGACAGAATATAAAGACTGCAAAGAATGACCAAAAAAATTAATATACACTGAAAGAATAGAATACAAAGAAAGGTATCCAGATGATAAAAACAGCTGGTTAGACTTTCAATGAATATTTAAAGAAAAGAGCTAACAAAGCAAGACTTGGTCCTTTGAAAAACAGAAGAATTGATAATGGAAAATTAGGAAATAGCAGATTACTTGAAAAAGTATATTGTAGCCTTCATGAAAGAAAATGCAATAAACATTCCAGGAGCATCAATAAAACAGGAAATGGAAAGGAGGGAGGATCTCAGGAAATGTGCTGTTTATGCCACACCAAGCAAAGACCATCTTCAATAAGACAGAATCACCCTATGACATTCAAGGGCATTACATTACTGAATCCCTTGCAACCAGTATCCTGAGGGTTACCAATGACTGAAACTGAACTGGACAAGCCACATAAACTGTGGCCACAGCAACAAGTGCTGAAGTATCCTGTACAGAATAGGTCATCTCTTGACTCCTTAAAGCCTGCCTACCATCTACAAGGTACAAGTTACGAATGCAATGGAATAATCTCCTGTTCAGCTCAAACTTAAGAATCTTGATACCATCCAGGACAAAGCAACCCATTTAACAGGCACTACACATTCACTCCCTCAGTCACCAGAAGCAGCAATGTATATAATCTACAAAATGCACTGCAGAAATTCAAATATCCTTAGACAGCATCTTCCAAACCCACAACTACTTCCACCTGGAAGGACAAGGACAACAGACACACAGGAAAATCACCACCTGCAAAATGCCCTCCAAGCTCCTCAGCATCCCGACTTGGAAATATGTTGCCATTCCTTAGTTACTGCTGAGTCAAACTCCTGAAACTCCTTCCCCAACAGCATTGTGGGTCTACTTTCATCAAAAAAATAGAAAACAGCTCACTTTCCCAAGGGTAATTAAGGATGGATATTGACTGCTGGGCCAGCCAGTGATGTCTATTTCCCATGAATGAACAAAGTAGAAATAAAAATCACAATCACACAAGATGGGGCATTGAATAAACTGTTTTAGGTCACAGGCATTTGTCAGCCTGCAGCTAACGGACTTGATACCAAGTTCTTTTAAAAAGTGGCTAATGAGATAGGTGGTGTGCTAGGTTTAAATTTTCCAAAGCTCCCTTGATTCAGCGATGGTCTCATTAGATTAAAAGATAATTATTTTGATGCCTTTATTCAAAACAGGAGGGACACAAAACAGCAAACCACAGGCAAGTTTGCCAGAAAATATTAGAAGTTGTTATTAAAGAAGTTAAAGCTGGGCACTTCGGTACATTTACGGTAATCAGACAAAGTTAACATGGTTTTCTGAAGGGGAAGTTATGTTTGAGCAATCTGTTGCAGTTTTTTGTGGTGTTATCACATGCTGTAGATAAAAGGGAACCAGCAGATAGATCATCTTCTGACTCCCTAAAGCCTGTCCACCATCTACAAGGCACAAGTCAGGACCATGATGGTAACTTTTCTCTTCAGCTCAAACACTCAAGAATCTTAACACAATCCAGGACAAAGCAGCTGTTTAATGTGCACTACATAACAAACATTCACTCCCTCTACCACCAATGCTCAGAAGCAGCAATGTGTACCATCTACATGATCCACAGCAGAAATTCACTAAAGATCCTTATACAGCATCTTCCAAACCCACAACCACTTGCATCTAGGAGGACAAGGCCAGCATACACATAGGAACACTAACTGCAAGATATCCAGAAGGCATTTGGTAAGGTGCTACATCAAAAGATACTATATTGGCGGCAGCATGTTGACATGAGTAGATGATTGCCTGGCTATTGGGAATTGGAGAGGATGTGGAAATAGGTATTTTGTAGGTTGGCAAGATAAAACGAGTGATATGCTACAGGGATCAATGTTGTTACCTCAACTGATTACAATTTACAGACTTAGATGAAGGAACAGGTGATATGATAGCCAAATTTGTTGATTACACAAAGATAGACAGAAAATAAGTTGCAAAGAGGGCACAAGAGGGTTACAAAAGATACTGGTTAACTAAGTGGAAATGGATGTGGGAAAATGTGAAGATGTCTATTTGGCAGGAGGAATGAAAAAGAAGCATATTATCTATAGTTTACATATCGTTCAGATCTGAGATGCAGAGCGATCTGGGTGTCCTCGCGCATAAATTGCACAAGGTTAGTATGAAAGCACAGCAAGTAGTTAGGAAACAAAAACAGAAATTGCTGGAAAAAAACTTAACAGATCTGGCAGCACCTGTGGAGAAAAATCAGAGTTAAAGTTTCAGATCAAGTGACCCTTCCTCAGAACCAGTTATTAGGAAAACTATGTTATCAATTATACTGAGGGGAATCAAGTACGCAAGTAGGAAGATTATGCTTCAATCATACAGGATACCTGCATGACCTCATTGAGTATTATGCACAGCGTCGGTCACTCAGATAGCAAGAACTGCAGATGCTGGAATCAGAGTCGATACAGTGTGGAGTTGGAGGAACATAGCAGTACAGGCAGCATCAGAGAAGCAGACAACTTGACGTTTCAGGCCTACACTCTTAATCAAGGTTCTGTTCTGATCCTGAAGGGTCTAGGCCCGAAACGTCAATTCTTCTGCCTCTGATGCTGCCCGACTTGCTGTGGTCCTCCAGCTCCACTCTGTACTGACAATATTGGTCACTTTATTTAAGAACTTACGCATGTGCGTAAGATGCAATTCAATGAGGGTTTTCTAGACTTTATCTGGAAATGTGCATATCATATGAGCAAAGTTTGAAAAGGCTAGGCTTGTACCTAGTGCAGGTTAAATGACTTAGTGGTGGACTTTTTTGAAACAAAATCCTGAAGGGTCTTGGTAGGATAAATTTGGAAACAATGTTGCCTCTTACAGGAGAATCTAAAACTAGATGTTGAAAGCTTATCAGGGGTAGGCAAGCTTCTGAATTTGAGGTTGAAATTAGATTGGCCACAGTCTTATGAATGTTAGAGCAGAGTCCAGGGGCTAAACGTCCTACTCCTGCTACCGATTCAAGTGATTGTAAGCAATTTTTTCGGGAGATCCCTCCTCTGGTTGTTTGCTAATTGCTTATTATAACTCCAGACTGGTGGCAGAACTTTGGTCTGATCAGTTGCTTGTGGGATTGTTTAGTACTGTTTCCAAACTTTAGCATGTATGTAATCCTGTGTTGTAGCTTCACCAGGTTGGCATTGCATTTTTAAGGATGCATTTAAGGATGCACTGAGAAAGGCCTGAGAAAGGATAGCCAGTGATTAAAGGCCAAGGACTAATTCCATCTCCCAGAAACACCTGCCAAATGTGTGGTCTAGGCTCAAGCTCAGCCACCATTTCAGGAGCCCACACAATCTTCTCGTGATTCATAATGGTGACAACTGATCCTGGCATGCTCTCTTACAATCCTCTTTCAGTCAGGTCACTCCACCTGCTTGATTATAATAGAGGAGTGACAAAATGCCAACTTACGAGGATGGAAACTGCTGTTGCTGATAGCCGTAAAATATCCAGTTTTAAGATGCTAGATCTGTTGTGAAACTATCCCTGTTAGAATGGTGGTAGTGCCACACATAATGCAGGGTGTCATTAATGTGACATCTCTAGGTCCATCTCCACAATAACAGCGCAGAGTTTATGCCCACCAATACAGTCATGCACACATACCTATGCAACAGGAAAGTTTATGGGGATGAAATGAAGCGCAATTTTCCTTCTGGTTTGTTCTCCCATCACTTGCTGCCAGTCCAGTCTGGCAGATATGTTCTTCAGGGCCTGTCCAGCCCTACCAGCAGTGGTCATACCAAGTCACTCCTCATGAAGACGACGATCTTCATCAAGTATATTTTGTGCCCTTGCTACCCTCAATCTTTCATCCTAGTATTGTTCAATACAGAAGACTACAAATTCATCAGCTAAGGGAAGACAATATGGGGTAATCACCAGAAAGTCTCCTTGTCCACATCTGACCTGAGCCCATGAGATGTTAAGAGTCAGGATTTAACTTTGGCAGCTCTGTCTGTATAGTTTTGTGCCACCATCACTTCTGGTGGGTTTGTCCTGCCAACAGGGCATATCCAGGAATGGTGATGTTGGAGTCTGGGATGTTGACTTTAAAGACAAGGATTTGTGGAGAATGACCATCAGTCTGTTGTTCAACAGGTTTGTGGGACAGCTCTCCCAATTACAACTCAGATGTCAGTCAGGACTTAAGCACCAACTGGGTAGGGTGATTTTGTGACAAAGAACTAGAATAAAATATGCTGAGATGCACAAGAGTACACGGCCTTCAACACGAACTAACGGCACTTAGGGGCCGAAAACTTTCTTCCCACAGTTTAGTAACTCAGTAGCATTTGCTGTTCCTATTGTATTTGAATGTGAATATTTTCAAAGCCAGAGCTCAAATTTAATGCGAGGGATTCAAGGAGAAGCAGAATGAAACAAATCATGCTGGTTAAAGTCTGACTATTACTTCAATCAGCTGGTAGTGTCCTGCAGAATAAAATCAGGGGTGACTTTCTCAGTTAATCTATATATAGAAATGGAATAAGTGGACAATGATTTCACCATGGTGAGAATGAAAAATTAATCCAACTGACCAGTTTTGATGATATTTCCTTGAAAACACTATAAATGTTACATAATGTACAAATAATATTTTATGAAAAGACAAAGCTCTGTCAATACATAAAGGCCTTTTTGGCACCAAGAGCACAACCTGCACTTGATTTCCAATCGATTAAAAATACAGCTTCTAACAATGCTGCTAACTGAACAAATCAGTTTTCACAACACATAGCCAAAGATGGATCCAATCGGTTACTAAAATCAACTACAGTATTGTTTACTGTTCAGGGAAATTTTGCGACTGACTAGCAAGATGCAGGGTTATACTTTCAAATAGGGTTTGGGTCCTAGAGATCACTACGCAGTTCAAGAATAAAAACGTGTCTCGGTTTTGCAAAACCATATCTCACGCTCAAGAAAGGCTCAATGCTTATGCCATTCACTAACAATGCAAGCACGTTTGAAACTAAACATAGCTGTTGCTGGCAAACATGAGCAAAATTTTAAGTCTTCGCAAGGCAAGAAACAAAATCATTTCTTCAAGTAATGAACCAATTCAACACTTGAGGGAAGCATCCTTGCTTATGAAATGGAAGTGGAGATATGCCAGGATAAAAACTTAAAGCGGCTACTTTCCTTCAGTCCCCTGCTGCTTAGGCTAAATTTGTAATAAAGACATGACAATCACACTAAGTTTTTAATCAAATATGCATACTATACCCACAGATACACACTGGTGTAAAAAGCTGCCAAAAGTACACTTACCATTTCTTAAAACTTCCTTGCAAAAGTGACTTGCTTCACAGTGGCTTCTTTCCCCCGAGAGGACTGTTCTCTTCACATCACCCGTCTTGCAATTGTTTACATTGCTCACCAAAGCCATTGTTATCACATGAATCAGTTCACTGATAACAGTTCTTGTGCATTGTGGTCCACTAACCACGCCATTAGCAGGAAAAAAGTAAGCTTTCAAATGATTAGCTAGTTCATTCAGATCCATTAAGCAGTCCTGGTCATCCTTACAGCCAAATATTAACTCTCCATTCTTCATGTATTAAAGTAATGGAAGAGGGTTTGGGGTGGGGGTAGGGGAGGGGGGAGGACAAGAAAGGAAGAGAGAAAAAAAAAATGAATTACTTTGCAGACATTATACAAGATGTTTTTAAAAAATATTTTTATTTAACCTATTTTTCTAATCCTGTTCAGAGATGTTATTACACACCTCCAGAGTAAGTGGGACTAGAACCTGGGCTTCTTGGTTCGGGGATAGGGACAATGACCACTGCACCACAAGAGCCCTAAAAGTGGTAATATCTGCAGTGGTTAATATAAAAAAAAAATCGACAGCTGCCAAAATAAATGCTAAATAATCAAACAAAATTTCCAGAACATCACATTTGACATGTTAAGTTTCACTTCCTCTAGGTGAGCAATTGGATCTTACATGCAACGCATGCTTCAGTGTACAAGGCAACATGTTCTTCAAGTTACAGCCAATGAAATCTGAATCACAAAATATTGAAAGCAAGTTTCTCCAAGAGGGGAACATATTGTTTAAAAAAGTCCTGCAAAAATGTGCCCCAATATTTACTTCAGTGAAATGTGAACTTGTTTAGCAGCCAAATTTGAAACAAAATTATTTCGTTTTCGATGAACCATATTGGTCAAAGCTATAGTTTTTACATTGCAAGAAAGTACAACCAAATAATTTATGCAATTGTTTGACATGCAGTGGAGACGTCTTAATGGCAAACAGCAGTTTGCACTACACAATAAAGTGCTAAGAGTCAGAGGCCTATAGCACAGATAAAGGCCCTTCAAACCCACTGAGTATGTTTTTGACCAATGCAACCACTTAACTATTCTAATCCCAGTTTCCAGTGCGTGGCCCATAGCCTTATATTTAAATGGTACAATTTTATAATTTCCCTGAAACGAAAATAAAAAGGCTATTTCTATTGATTCAAGAAATTTAACAATGAGTTTCAAGTTTTGCCATGTTGAATTTAAGGGAAAACAGATCATACATAACATACTAAATTAAGGAAGCAGATATTAGGCTTAAATGAAGGAAACATATTAGGAATGCTTCTCAAGATAAAATGCTCTGAGGTGAATGACAAAATTGAATAAATGAAGGGGAAAATACTTAATAGAAATAGCCTGAGCCATTTCAGTCTAAGCACATTACCGACAACACAAGTCATCCCAATTATTGCCAAACAACCTCAGCCAGTGAAAATGAACTAGAAGAAGGGAATCCAAATCCTTCAGATTTTAATTATTGTTGGAGACTTTTTAAATTTTTCTTCAGAAACTTTGCCTTTTTAAATCCCATCCTCTTGGAGATTTTGCTTTCTGCATCTGATTAAGGAGACTGACACTTTCGTATTCAAACTCACACTGTTCCCAAGACCAAGAATTATTAAAAAGGTACAGTTGCTCATATAGGTTCCAGGTAACCCAAAAGTGGGCACAGCGCCAATTTAATAATTTGGAACAACTGCAATACAAAGCTCACTGAATCTAACAGGACAAAAGGCAAATTTAAACAACGAGCAGGTGACTTAAGTTTGCTGGTGACAGTAAATTTTGCTCCATTCAAGTTATATAGTTATCATTCGGTTTTCAGTGGCATTAAGCAAAACTGTAATTACCTTAAAAATTTTTAGATTGTTTTGAGGCTCCTGTAACAAACTTTTCAAGGCAATGTACATACGTTGTTTATTCCTGTAAAACACAGACATTTTAGAAAGTGGACTACTGCATTTTTCCCGACTTTTTTTGTGTCTGATAACTGCAGCTTCCCTTAGATGAGCCTAAACTTGTGAAAAAGCAAAACAAGATGTAAACGCAAAATCCCAAAGTACATTATAAAACAAAGCATAACAAGCCACTTAAAGCAAACATTGGACTAGATGACCACAAGGTCAAAGACATAGGCTTAAAAGAAAAGTCTTAAAAGGAGGAAAATGAGTTGCAAAAGCAGACAAACTTAAGAAGGCAATGACTGAGCTTGAGGCTTGGGCATTGAAAGCACTGTCACCAATGACAGAGCAATTATGATTGGAAATGTTCACGAGACCAGAATTCCAGAAGCACAGATACCCTGGTGGGCTCTGGGACTGGAGGCATTACAGAAATGTAGAGGTGCAAGGTCAGTGAATATAAGGCCCTAGCCAAGGGAACATTGGAAGAATCGTTTATACAAGTATTGACAGCAGGCTTCAATCTGCAAATGAGATGAAACAGAGGCAAAGTCAAGGAACGTTGCAGAGGTGTGAGTAGGTAGTCTTAGTAGTGACACAAATAAGGTTAGAAACTCCCTTCAGGATCAAATCAAGGTTACCAACAGACTGACCATCTTCAACTGTTGCTGAGAAAGACGGATTTTGTAATTAGGGAGTGAAGTTTGGAGTAGGGACCAAAAGCAAGGACTTCAGTTTTCCCATTATTTAATTGAGAAATATCTGCTCATCCATATTGAATGTCAGATAAGTAGTGACGTACAGCTTGGTGTTGCTAGCAAATAGATGAAATAAAACTAACTTTGGACAGGTCACCAAGAGAAGCACATACATAAGAAATAGAATGGGCCATAAATAGATCCATGGGGGAGGCCAGATGTATTGGTGCAGGAGTAGGATCCATAGCCATTGCAGCTAAATCCAAGGCTATAATTTGAAGGATAAGAATGCAAACATATGAACAATCCCACACTACTAAATAACAGTGGAGAATAGTTGGAAGAGGAAAGTACGCTCAGCCTTGTCAAATGCTACAAACAGGTTGCAAAGGACTAGAAGTTTACCTTTGTCAGTCACATAGAAAACAAACCCATTTACTGTGCCAGAATTACAGGAAAAGGTTGTCACACTGTCACTTAGAAGATTATCAGTTATGATCAACACCTTCTTGAATGAAATGACCCACTGGATTTATTTACAGTGTTTACAAAACTTAGCATGTTGAAAATCACTTCAAAAGCATTAAACTTGCAATCCCTGATGTGGAAAGACTATTTTATTCCTGTTTTTTTTTTGACTGTGCACTAAAAATAGAAAAAGGTCCATTTTAAAAATCATGGATTGCAGAAGGGACTTCAAGCAGTACGCAAGATGGTTTGTAGATGGCCCAGTACCAGGGCATGTGTGTAGACTGAAATTTGGCCAGCACAAGCAGCCAGGTAGCTGGTGCAATTAGGACTTGATGTGGGTGCCAAAGCTCATCAACCTGATAACTTGGACTGACAACTGAAAAGCGATGGGTGTGAACAATACGGAGGAAAATCCTCTGGAAGTGAGGTGGTGTGGGTGTGTTTGGGTCATTCTCTCATTGATAAAATGTGAAGCTAAAGAAAGTTGCTGCTTTGAACAAATAAGTCGGAGACTTTATCATTTGTGAACCAATCTCTGCCTGCTGTGAAGAAGTGAATGAACCCAAAAGGAAAAGCTCAGATCAACCAAGGATTTGGGAAGCAAAAGGAAACCTGCTATCAAATGAGAGGGACAGTACATGAACAGAGTTTAAAAGTGCTGCATTTCATACAGGAAACATCTTGTGCTGATGCAGGCTCTAGTGGGGGGAAAAAGAAGAGTTGTAATTCACAGTTGAGTAAAAATATTTACATTTGTACAGGTCCTACCAAACTTTGGAGAAAAAAAGATGCAGAGGCATTCTTCATGTCACTTGAGAAAATAGCAACGCAAATGAATTAGGCAAAAGACGACTGGTCATGCAACACAAATTTAGTGTTTCATTGTCAAAGGACACGGAGATTATTATGCTGTACGGAAATAGTTAAGTATGACTTAGTGACTGATGCATATAGGCAAAAGTTCCAGAATTTAAGGAAACAGAATTGAAGGCAAACCTACATTGAATTTCAAAGTGTTAAACAAAGTAATTGCTGGATACAAGCACAAGAAGCTGAAAACACAGGTAGAGCTATTCAAGACATTGAATAGGGTAGAGAAAAGATTTACAAGTATATTGCCTAGCCTGGAGGATATTAGTTATGAGAGGAAATTGGAAAATCTTAGTTTTTCACTTGAAAGTCAGAGACTGAAGGTCGATCTGATAGAGATTCACAAAATTACAAGAGGTGTGGATAGTTGGAGTCTTTTTCCCAGGGTAGAAATGTCAATCCCGAGGGGACAAAGATTTAAGGTAAAAGGGGGAAAAGTTTAAAGGAGATGTGAGAAGCAAGTGCACAGAAGGTGCTAAGTGCCTGGAATGCACTGCTAAAGGAGGTGGTAGAAACAGATACAGGAACAACGTTTAAGAGGCAACTCGACAGAAACATACATAGACAGGGAATAGCAACCATGTGGAGGCAAAAAAATTTTAGTTTAGAAAGGCGATGTCTGTCAGCACAGACCTGGTGGGCCAGAGGGCCTGTACCGGTGCTATACTGTTCTTTGAAAGCAACAATGTTGGTCAACGGGATAAGTGGAGAGTATATCCTGGTTCCATTGTACAAAGTTCAAACGGAGTGTGACTCACTGTTTGGACTAGTGATAGTTTGGGCAGTAAAGAAATTACCTGTGAATGGAGTTACTTTACTTATGGGAATGATTTGGTCTAGTGAAAGTTATAGCTCTGCTTGGAATCACAAAATCCAAGTGAGGTTGAAGAGACAGAAGAGTTGTGAGTACAAGTAGTAGGTATTTTTCATCGTGCATAGTGACCACAGCAATGACAAAACGAAGTCCATTACCATAGGTCACTGTAATACCATTAGGGTAGCTAAAACTCTACTTAAGAATGAGGATAATTCAAAAGAAGTGCTTTGTAGGTCTACATTAATTGAGACACAGGAAGGAGATTCAGAGCTAAGTAAGTTGGCACAGACAGCTCACACTGAAGCCAAAGGAGTTCCAGAGTGCTATTATATTAAAATTAGAGTTCTGATGAGGAAGTGGAGAAATCCTCACCGATATACAAACAACAAATGGATCACCATTCTTTCTGCAACCTTTCCATCTCTACCCGGTCAAGTCTCCTAAGAATCTTTGTTTCAATAAGGTTGCCTCGCATTCTTCTTTATTCCACGAACAGACGCAATCTTCTCAACATCTCCTCAGACAGTCCATCCACACCTGCTATCAGCCTAGAGAACCTTCTCTGGACTGCCTCCAATGCTGGTATATCTTTCTTTAAATTAGGGTGCCCAAAATTGTTCACAATATTCTAACTCTGGTCTAACTCATGCTTCGTATTGTTCCAGCAAAACCTCCTGACTTTTATATTCCATTTCCTTTGAAATAAAGGCCAACAATGCTATCTGCCTTCCCTATTATGTGCTGTGTTTGTTCAACACTCCCAAATCCCTCTGTTCTGTAGCTTTCTGCAATCTTTCTCCATTTACATAATACTGAAGGTGAAACTCAAGTTTGCTGGACAGTTTGAATAACCAGCTTGATACATTTACTAACTGCAAAAGATAAAGCTGTCAAAAAGTACTTCAGTATCACCTATTTTCTAGTTATCATGGTCATGCTGATTGAACAAGGTATCTCAAGCAATAAATCAAAAAATTCTTTACTCCCCATCTAATCAGTTCATTTAATGTCATAGATAAACAACCTGCACCTAATAACCCAACAATAAATGTTTCCAAGAACTATGAATTGCGTGTGGCACTTAGGACAATAAAACTGTATGCTCTGCTCCTGGGAAAGAAAAACAGCAGGAAGCCAATCAGCTCCTCATGTTTGATGCGCTCTGGCACTCATTTACATATTTCTTGTCTTTAATTACACCTGAGGAAAATTAACTCAAAAGACATTGTATTTACATAGTTGAAATAGAAACCGTGTGAATAGCAACACAACATTCAGGGGTCCGTTAAGAGATTTCATGAAAATTTCTGAGAACATTAAGATTTGAGGTTTACAACTAAGTTAATGTCCAATTTTTAAATAACATTCTAGTGCTGTCAATTTTACCACAGTTTAACGCATTATTTTTCCATAAAGATACAGGAAAATGATGTCAAGGTTTAAAGCATTTGCTATTCAAACTTGTACCTCACCCTGAGAAAAGATCAAGGGGACAGTATTTGCTTATCCTCTTCCATTTTCCATTAGCCACCTATTACAAAAGAAACATCCCCTAGTTAGATCAAACATCTCAAGTCAGCTAGTAGCTGTGAATCAGTTCCTTAAATGACAAGCCCGAATTATAAAAGTTTAAAGTTGCAGAAAAAATACATGACAAATATAAGCATTTTCATCCATCTGTTACAGAAGTGGATGATGGGGCCACCAGCCACTGCAGGGAGAGGAGGTTGTACCAGAGTGGACTGAGGAATGGTTATGATCAATCAAAATGAAATAAAGTTAAAATTAAAATTAAAATGTGCCAAACATATTGAATTAATTGTAGCTATTTTGCTATATTCTAAAAGCAGATTCACTGGTATTTAAAAAAAAACTAGTAACTTATTTAATATAAACAGCTACCCCAAACAAAAAGAAATTTGTTGCAGATACAAAGTGCAAATAAAAAACAAAAAAATTTTTCCCATGGGCGCATTACTAGAGTTCAAAACAATTTTGTTCAAAAATCTTTCAATAATTTTGAAAGTTTATTTGGGATGACTCGCTTCAATTCAAGGACTGTGTCAAGTCCAGTATGCATTGCTGCCTAAAAAGAAGTTTTCTGATTCCTTCTGAAATGCATTAAAATCTAGTGAACATGTTGGTTTCTAAAACACTTGTTCTCTAGTTCACATATCCAAGTCATAACCTAATAAAAGGATTTTAATCACTGCTTGAAGGCAAATCAATAATTTCAGCAATGATTTCTAGCAAGTGTTTCTGTTCTAAACCTGAACTCCATTTATGATCATCCAAACTTCTGATAAAGGGTATATTCTCGACATTAAACAGAAACACTAAATTTTTACAAAGCAACAATTCTGATACAGGTATGAGCTTTTATAGTGAACTCAAATTTACAAAATGAAACTACATATTACTACTTGGCTTTGCAAATGGCAAGTGCATGCAAAATAAGTGAATACATTGTTCACAAAGCTTGGTGGTTGCAAGAAGCTCTAAGGATTTTTAAAATTATTTTTGAAGGCGTCAATTTTTTTTTTTAAAATGGAAACAAAGACCTGTAGCTGACTGAATTCAGTACCTTCAGATGTTGGTGCATGCAATAGCGACACACACGACGCTTGATGTCCTTGGTAATGTGGGTGGAGAAAGGAATAAATCCACATTTAGGCTGTAAGTAAACAAAAAGGACAGATTATTTTACTGACAGTTATTTAAACAAAACTAAGTTTTTACCTGTGTACATAAACTCCGCTGTAAAGTTTTGTTGAACTTCAAAAAAAGGTCAGAGATGCTTTCATTAATACTTCTGTGAACGTCCCAAAATCTTGGGAGCTGAAAAGCAACTAAGTAGTTAGACTCAGGTTTCACTTTCACAAATAAAAGACTATGTTTAAAAAAAAAATTGTACTGTGGCTGCCTAAGTGTGAATGGAAGAGGTAGCAAAAGTGTACAGCAGTAATCAGAGTGTAATAATGGTAAAAAGTCAAAGTTCAAGGCTCTTTATCTGAATGCACACGGCATTTGTTAACAAGATTGATGAATTGACAGAACAAAGAAATAAATGAAACAAATATTACTTCATTGCTGTTATAGAGACATGACTACAGGGTGACCAAGACTGAGAACTCATTCAAGAATATTAGATTTTCCAGAAGAATAGGCAAAAAGGAAAAAACGTGGTGAGCCTGCTTTGTTAATAGAGGATATATTAGTGCTGTGGTGAATAGTGATATAGGTATAACAGATCATGACGTGGAATCAGTTTGGAAATAAGGAATGGCAGGGCAAAGAAGTCACAGGCAGGCATTGTCCATAGGTCCAGAGGGGTTGCCTCACTGTAGTACAATCAAGAAATAATGAAACATACCCCCCCCACCTTATTTTCTGCATATAATCTGACGTTTTCCCAGCCAGCATCAGTTCTGAGGAAGGGTCACCAGACCCGAAACGTTAACTGTTTTCTCCTTCACAGTTGCTGCCAGACCTGCTGAGCTTTTCCAGCAACTTTGTTTTTGTTCAAGAAATAATGGAGATGTAGAAGGAGGGCACTTAAATGACATAGGTGATTTCAACCTGGATTTGATTGGCCAAATCAGATTGGCAAGGGTGATATGGAAGATTAATTTCGAGAGCACATGAAGAATTGCTTCTTACAGCAGTATGTTGCACAGCCTATGTGGGAACAGGCTGTTTTAGATCTTATGTATATTGAGATAGGATTAATAAGAACTCATTATTAAGGATCCTCTGGGGTAGTGACCACAACACATGTAGAATTTCAAAATCAGCTTGAAAGAGACAAATTTAGGTCTCAAACCAGTGCCTTCAACTTAAACAAAGGCAAGAAAAAAAAAGTTGTCTAAAGCAAAGTGGGAAAACAGAATAAAGGCAAAAAGTGAGTGGATCAGCAGTAACAGACATCTAAGCCAATATTTCGTAACACTCAGCAAAAGCTTATTCCAGTCAAAACGAGGGCTTGATGAGTAGGATGAACCACCTGTAGTTAACAAAAGGTAGTTAAGGAGAGTATCCAATCAAAAACAAAAGGCAGCCAAAAGGACAAAGCTCACCAGTAGCCCTGAGGATTAAAAATATTTTACAAATCAGGAATGGATGACTAAAAATCTAATAAAAGAAAGAGAAAAAATTAATTAAAAGTAGTATAAAAACAAACAGCAAGAGTTTCTATGGGTATATAAAAAGAGTAGCTGAAATAACTGTAGGACCCTTGGAAGATGCAACTGGAGAACTGATAGTCATCGAACAAGTGGTAGATTATTTAAATAAATATTTCGCATTGGTGTTCAAAATGAAGAACACTAAACATCCCAAAATATAACAGATAAGCATGGTGCTAACAAGAGGAAAGATCCTGTAACAGTCTTTATCACAAGGGACAAAGTATTTGACAAACTAATGGGACTAAATGCAGACAAGTGGCCACGACATGATGGTCTGCATCCTCGGGTTTTAAAGATGGGAGCTGCAGAAATAGTGAAGGCAATGGTCAAAAAATTCTAGAACTCAATGGATTCCAGGAGGTTTCCAATGGATTGGAAAACTATTAATGCGACGTCCCTGTTCAAGAAGGGAGACAAAGAGTGGGAAATGATAGGCCAGTTAACCTAACATCTGTTATTGGAAGAAAAACTAGAATGTATTAAAAATAAGCAGAATATTTAGAAAAGTTTAACACAATCAAATGAAGTCAGCAAGGTTTTGTGAAGGGAAATCATTGCGTGAGTTATTTGAGCATAGAACAAGCAGACAAGAAAAAGGGGCATCAAAAGTAATATGTTTGCATTTCAGGAAAGCATCAATAAGGCGTTACACAAAAGTTTAGTATGCAAGATATTCTCAGTACTGGGGTAATTTATGAGCATGGGTTGGGGACTGCCTTCTAACTATTAATCACAGAATTGGGATTAATGGGTCTTTTTCAGGCTGGAGAGACAACTAGTGGAGCTGGAATCTAACTGACTCACGTGGGTGGGTTGCGGGGGTTGGTGGTGGGGAGAGAAAGAGAAAAGGAAGAGGAGAGTCACGTAGACGCTACATTTCAGGAGGCAGTCCACTTCCTTTAAATTAGGCAGATAGAGGGATCCAGGAGGTCGTGCTTAATAAGCCTCAGTCCTTGCGGCGAACTAACAGGTTTGAGATTCTTGCATCCTGTATGCACAAGAATGGGGACAGTTAAGAGGAAATGCAAACTGACCATTGCACCATCGTACTGAAAGCCATTCAAAACAAGGGGAGAAAACAGAAATGTACTTTTAATTGGGGATAGTACAGTCAAGGAAATAGACACCATTCTCTGTAGCCAGGATAGAGAATCCCAGAAGTTAGGTTGCCTGCTGGTGCTCAGGTTCAGGATATCCCATCTGGGCTGCAGAGGAACTTGGAATGGGAGGGGAAGATCCAGTTGTCACAATCCACGCACGTACCAATGATATAGGCAGAAAAGGACAGTTGTGTAAAATCTAACCTCAGATGATAGAGTCCATTTGGACAGAGGTACAAAATAGCAGCCACTCTAATGGAAAAGAAATCAACAATAGGAGCATGTAAAAAGAATAGAACAATAATTATGGGTCCCTTTCATGTATTGAGTTAACCAAATTGGAAAGGGTCGCTCTAACAACAAATTCACAGAGTGCATTAGGGCTAGTTTTCTCAAACAACATATCATGGAGCAAGCTATCCATTACCAGATCCAAGATAATGAGGCAGGTTTAATAAGTGACCCGAGAGTAAAAGATCCCCTAAGAAGTAATGATCACAACATGACAATTTAATATTCAGTTCGAGTGTGAGTAAGTTGGGTCCGAAACAACTGTGTAATTGCCCCTTAAGTTAAACAATCAAATAAGGGTAGAGTAAGTCAAAAAGTGAACAGGGTGTTCAGATTAGCAGGAATGACAGTAAGCATGGAATGGCAGACATTTAAGGAGCTAATTCATGAGTATCAACATCCCAGTAATGAGGAAGGATTCTAAGAGGGAGATAAAATCAACCATGACTAACCAAGGAACTCGAAGAGAGTATCAGGTTGAAAGAAAAAGCACATAAAAAGAGGCAACAGTCAGTTATAGCCCCGAAGAGTCGGGTAAGTTCAGAATTCAGCAAAGAGATTAAAAAGACAGGGAAAATAAACTACAATGAAAAACTAACATGTAATATGAAAGCTGACAATAAGCTTCTTTGGATATAAAAAATGGAGAGGCAAGATCGAGGCTGAATGGTCTACTCCTGCTCCTCTTTCTTATATTCTTACCTTCCTGTCTTTACTAGATACTCTTCCACCCCACCTTCTTTATAATAGTCATTATTTGTTTTGTGTGGTTGTTATCAAGTTTTATTATAATTTGAGTAATACAACTTCATTCTCCTTCACTCAAGGAAACATTGGAATTGGCACTCCATTTTTAATCTGGTTCACAAAGTTTATGATAGCAATGTGCTAAAGAAACTTTTGACATATTTGTCATTACAAACCAAGAGGGAGATTCATTTAAAAAAAAAGGGGGAGACACAAACCCTCCTCATCTGATGGTCACAGTTAATGCAACTTGTACTTTTAACATCCAAAAGCATCAAAGTAACTGAGTTAACAGAAAAATTGTGGTTGAACGTCCCATGAGCTACACTTGTCATGGTCTAAATAGTCAAAATGATCAACACCGATCACACCCAAATATTAGTAACTCAGGTGACACACAAAAACATGAAAACTTCATCTTTTACCAGGCGCTCTAATTCTCCACTTTCAAAGATTTGCTTTCAAAACACCCTCAAAAGTCTCTTCACCTCCAAGTGCTGCAACAACTGCTTATGTTGGTAGCTAAGTCCTTCCTCCTGAGACAGTGCTAGCCAACACTCAAGATTGTTCCAAAAAGTTTAATGACCAGCATAATTTTAGCTTTCATAAAATGGCTAGCTTTACATGATTGCTGCTCACTTTCGCTAAACGCCATTTTTTTCTTAGCTGCATCAAGGAAATACTGCTTGACCTCTTCTTTCACTCCATTCTCTCTTGCACTGAACTATCAATGAGTTCAATGGACATCGCCAGACCTCACTCCCTGGAGTCTGCGGACAGCAGCATTTGCAGTCTGGAGTCTTCTGTTTCAGTAACTGTCGCAGTTCCATATCACAAGTTACTTCTCCCAGCAAATACACACCCAGATAAATCAGGGCACAGTTTTAACCTTCACCCATGTCCATGATGATGTAGCCAGCACTGGGCTGCTCTTAACTTCAGTGTTAGCACTTATGGAATTCTCTTAAACTAACTTAACTCTAAATACCGTTCTCTCCGATTACCATTACTGCAGGTATCACAGACCTCACATATCCAGCTAAGTAAGCCACCCACTGTTTTTAAAATTACATCTCTTCTATTCTTACTGTTAAGCAAATAAGGATAAACCTCTGAACGGCAATTTGGTTCAGATGTTCTTGAAACCACTAAAGCCCAGCATTTCAATTCTTAGCTGTCAATCTCTTCAAGTAACATGATCCTAAACTATTGTGTGCTCTAGACATCAAGGCACTTCAGTTGCATTCTATTTTCTATAGTGAAACATAAATGTCTCAAACTTAACACACCAAACCACAAACCACACATCTGCATTCATGTGATAGAAGTGCTCAGACAATGCTGTTATGTAGAGACAAATTTAATTCAATTGAGTAGCTGGGAATGCCATTCCATAAAGATAATCAAGATTCAACTAATTGTTGTGGGACTGAACAAAAGAATTTAAAGGCAGAGATAGTAGGAACTGACGACGTTGGAATCCGAGACAACAAGGTGTAGAGCTGGATGAACACAGCAGGCCAGGCAGCATCAGAGGAGCAGGAAAGCTGACATTTCGGGACTGGACCCTTTTTCTGAAGGAGGGTCCAGGCCCGAAACATCAGCTTTCCTGCTTCCCGGCCTGCTGTGTTCATCCAGCTCTACACAGAATTTAAAGGCAACTAAGTTTTAAAAAAAAAAGTCTTTATCTTTTCTCCCTCAGCACTGTACACCACCCTCCCCCAACTATTGCATTAAAGCTGCCCCCTCCACACTTCACTTCAGCTCTGAAAAGTCATCTTGACTTGAAATGTTAGCTTGCTCTCACTCCATGGTTGCTGCCTGACCCACTGTGATCTCTCCAGCATTTGTTGTTTTCAGTTAAAATAATTACTGTTGGATAACTGTCATTAATTTGTGTCAAATATCCTGAACACAGTTCACATGTGAAATTGTTAGGATTATATTCTGCTTGAACAAAGAAACCAATCATACAATAGTTCTAAGTAAAAATTATTGAAATTGGATGCTTCTAAATGGTGTCTTCTTCCCAAGGATGGAAGAAATGACCAATCTCAAAATCATGACAAATGTCTCCTTAATAATTTGGCCAACATTATTTAAGTATAAGAAAGCAAAAAATTGTTCAGTGTTCAGCCAATTACCTTGATTTCTATACAGAGGGGTGGTCGTTTTTCAATTCGACGACAGGTTTGGAATTTGGTGAGATCTGGGAGGCATAAAGCATACCCACTGAAGGCATCCATCACTTTATTGCAACGTGATCCTGTAAAATAAAATTCAGATGCTGTACATTTCTACTTCCAAAGTAGAACCAAGTTATCAGTTTAAATTTGTAACAAGACAGATGCCATAAAATTTAAAATGGATATCAATATATTCCTTCAAAATATTTTACAGTTGCAAGCTTGTTCCAGTCACTAGAATGATGAACAGAATGATTTTATATTTAAACTCTGTGTGCCCTCTCTGTTCAAGATCTGTTTGTTAGACTTGCTGTATCTTTCATTTTTATTCCACTCACTGAAGTTATTTTAATTTTTGTAAAATATAAAGTCTCACATCTCTCAAGTAAATGATCAAGACCACAACTGCTCCTGCTTGAGGGGTGAAATGTTAATTTTTAATTCAAATTTACAGCCCACACAAAGTCAGGGGCATATGGTCTAGAGAGACCATTCTAGAGTTTGTTTTAAGCCGATGACAAAACAGCTAATTCCAAAGCAAAATGATTCTTCACATTTCTCACCAAGCAACTCAGGCAGTAGAAAAGTTGAATAGTTTTTCATCTAGCTGAAGAGCATGAACTTGAAAAGGAACAGATTAAAACTGTATACCAGAGCCTATTTTAACAGGACCATCAATGGAAACTCAACTACTATAACACAGCAACACAACAGGCTATTGTTAGCATGAAATAATCATTGACAATGCCAAGGTCAGATGGCATAAAAACAAAAACTATTAAAACAATATCATCTCAGTTAGTTGTAGACTCTGGCAGCAGCTTTTCAAGTAGTTGCATAATTACCAATAAATGAAAAAGCTAAGGTTTGACCATTACAACCACTTAGTCTATTTGCCTTCAATTCAATGAGTGTTGAATTTAACTCACCATCTCTCTAAACAACTTTTCCAATTCACAGAAACTATGCATTCTATGTAAAATTTACATAAACAACATCCATACATATTTCCCATACACTACTTTGGTTGTTTTTTCAAAGAATACAGTTAAATTCATTCGACATGACCTACCCTTTATAAAATCATATCGGTTCTCTCTAATCACCTCAAGTTTCTCCAAATGCTCAATCAAATTATCCTTAATTATAACTTCAAGCATTGTTTCCAACAGATGTTTAAATTTATTCTATTGGTTCACATCCAAGGTATTGAAGGACTTGAAACTGTTCGTCTGCTCTCCTGTACAATTTCTCTCCCATCTACTACAGCTAATTTTGTCCTACAACTAGAAAAAATAAACGTTCAGATGCTTAAACATTTGGAGTACAATGTGACACACAGGTACACATCCTTCATCCATCTCAGCATTCCAATACAGTAATCAATGTTGCAGTGATGTTTGCTTGGAAAACTGATTTCTGGACATTAACAAATGCAAAAACATATTTGGAACTGTTGTAAGATGGATCTGGGAAGCATGGCCAGTAGCAACACGGGCAAGTACATTAGCTACCGAGTTAAAGAGTTAGGTAGGAGGTTAAAAAGCAGGACCTCAAGGGTAGTAATCTCTGGACTACTCCCAGTGCCACATGCTAGTTAGAGTTGGAATAGAGGATGGGGCAGATGAATGTGTGACTACAGAGCTGTGCAGAGAGCAGGGATTCAGAGTTTTGGGTCTTTGGAGACCAATATCCTGGTGGGGAGATAACTATCACTTTAGTGGATTGTACTATAGCACATACCCCCTCTCCCCCCAAAGTCAGTGAGAAATTGAAGAGAAAATATATAAAGGAGATCACAGTCAGCTGTAAGTACAATCGGCTTGTATTAGTAGGGGATTTTAAATCTCCAAACATAGACCGGGACTGCCACAGTGTTCATGGCTTGGATGGGGAATAATTTAAGTGTTGTCAGGAAAACTTTCTTAATGTGTAGATGGTTCTACTAAAGAATGGGCAAAACTTGACCTTCTCTTGGGAATTAAGGCAGGGCAAATGACAGAGGTGTTAGTGGAGGAGCACTTTGGGACCAGTGACCATAATTAGTTATAAAATAGCTATGAAAAGGATAGGTTGGTTCACAAGTTAAAGTTCTAAATTGGGGGGGGGGGAAGATCAATTTTGATAGTATTAGACAGGAACTTTCAAAAGTTGATTGGGAAACTTGTGTGCAGGTCATGGAACATCTGGCAAATGGGAGACTTTCAAAAGAAAGGTAAAGAGAGTTCAGGGCCAGCATGCTCCTGTTAGTCTGATGGATAAAGCTGGCAGGATTAGGGAACACTAAATGATATCAAGGCTCTGGTCAAGGAAAAAAAAAAAAAAAAGAGGCATGGGTCAGATATAGGCAACTGAGATCAAGTGAATCCCTTGAATAGAACAGACGTCTAGGCGTATACTTAACAGGAAAATCAGGCGGGCAAAAATGGGATACGAGATAGCTTTGGCAGATGAGGTAAAAGGAGAATCCAATGAGCTTCTGCAACTATATTAAGGGCAAAGGACTAACTACAGAGAGGATAAGGCCTCAAAGTTCAACAAGGTCATCTACATGTGGAGCCTCAGGGGATGGGCGATATCCTAAACAAATATTTCTCCTCAGTATTTACCATGGAGAAGACATGGAAACTAGGGAACTCAGGGAAGTAAATAGTGATGTCTCGAAAAGAGTCCACATTACAGAGAGGGGTGCTGGAAGTCTTAAAACACAAAAGCTAGATGAATCCCGAGGACCTGATCAAGTGTATCCCAGAACACCGGGAAGCTAGGGAAGAAATTGCAGGGCTCCAAGCAGAGATATCTGTATTAACAGCCATGGATGAGGTGGCAGAAGACTGGAGGGTGGCTAATGTTGCACCATTATTTAAGAAAGGCTGCAAGGAAAGGCCAGGGAATTACAGACTGGTGAGCCTGATGTCAGTGGTGGTTAAGTTACTGGAGGGAATTCTGACAGACAGGATCGACTGGCATATAGAAAGGCAAGGACTGGTTAGAGTTAGTCAGCATGGCTTTGTGCATTGGAAATCACACCTCAAAAATTTGATTGTGTATTTTGAAGGGGTGACTAAGATAGATAGATTGAGGGCAGTGCAGTTGACATTGTCTTTAGCAAGGCCTTTGACAGAGTACCACATGGTAGACTGGTTAGTGAGGTTAGATCACATGACAAGATTAGATAAGACAAAGAGCCAAGGTCTTTGCCCAGTGTAGGGAAATCCAAGAACAAGAGCGCACAGTTTTAAAGGTGAAAGGGGAAAGATTTAAAAGACACCTGAAGGGCAACTTTTTCACAGAGGATAGTGTGTATATGGAATGAGCTGCCACAGGAAGTGGTAGAAGTGGGTACAATTACAACATTTAAAAGACACTTGGATAAGAAAGGTTTAAAGGGATGAGTGAAATGGGACTGGTTCGATTTAAGAGACCTAATCAGCATGGACAAGTTGGATCGACTGGCCTATTTCTGTGTTGTGTACCTCTAATGACTCTATTAAGCAATAAAAGCACCTGGACTACTTGGAACAGGAACATAATTGGGGGATGGCAATAATAGTCACACATTCAGTAACATTAGTTTTACGCATCCTTTGCGACCAGAACTCCATCTCAACAGCCCACTATCTTGGTTATCCAAGTGCATAAGGAAACTCCTTTATTTTATAAGCTGGATGCTAGATTTTAAGACTTTTTTTTTTCCAGTTTCCAAAAGGCAGAGTGAGACATGCTTTAAGAGGGCAGTACTGTGGCTCAGTGATTGGCATTGCTGCCTCACAGTGCCAGACACCCAGGCTCGATTCCAGCTTTGGGTGACTGTCTGCATGGGTTTCCTCCGGGTGCACCGGTTTCCTCCCAAAGTCCGAAGATCTGCAGGTTGAGTGGATTGGCCATGGTAAATTGTCCGCAGTGTCCAGGGATGTGGGGCTAGGCGGGCTGGCCATGGTAAAATGTGGGATTATGGGGGTTTGGGTCTGGGATGCGTTTCGGAGGACTGGTGCAGACTCGATGGGCCGAATGGACTTTCTCTACACGGTAGGGATTCTACAACTCTAAAAAGATGGAATGTAAAAGCAGAGACTCTTGTCTAATTATCATGTGAATGGAGGAACATTACACAAACTTTTTTTTAAAATATACCTCACTGTGTGCCATAATCATCACTTCCACAGAAATCAACTTAGATATCAACAGCTCTGCTTCAGAGAGGATTGGAGAAGTTTTAAAAGCCAAAAGATGACCAAACAAGAACAAAGTGAGAAAATAAACAAACGAGGGTAACACAGCCAGTAATAAAAAACTGACAGACAGCAAGAGCTTCTTTAAATATATTTTAAAAATGACATAACAGTGAACAGAGAACCATTAAAGAAAGGGGAAAGATTTAAAAGGCACCCGAAGCGCAACTTTTTCACACATTAAAGAATTAGGCTGGGGAAAATAATAACTGGTTGCCATGAAGTTGCAGACAAGCTGAGTAGGTATTTTGCATTAGTCTTCACAGAAAAGAACACTATTAGCCAACACTCCCTTGACATTCCATGCACAGCAATCGGCATGCCGACACAGGAGGAGGAAGGTTCCAGAAGTCATTGCCATACACGGACCTTGGAGATCCATGCAGGAGAAAAAAAAATAAAAAAGACAGAACGCTGCTAATAGCATGACAAAATTATTCAAAGTGGCCAAAAGGAAGGTAAGGAAATTAATGTTATTAATTGTTGTTATATTAATTTAATAACAAACACAAGAGAATAAAGTACTTGGGAGACTAATGGGGCTAAAGGTCAAAAGGTCTCATGGATCTGACGGGCTACATCATCGGCGGTCACAATTATTTACAATATATATTAATCACTTGGATAATGGAAGTGAATCTACCATGTCAAGTTTGTGGATGATATAAAAATAGGTGGGAAGGCAAGTTTAAGGATGACACAAGCAGTCGCTCACCAAACCATTCTTGGAATGGAGTGAACTGTTCAGAGAAGCTTCACAAGGTTGACTGTGGGCATGGAGAAATTTCCTTGCAAGGAGAAGTTGAGCTTATTCTCACTGGAGCTTTGAAGAATGAGGGATCATATTGAAACAAAATTATTTGGGGGGAGGATTAAAAGATTATATGAAGTGAGGTGGTTTCCCTGTGTGAGAGAATCTAGGATCAGAGGGCGTAATCACAGAGTTAGTGGTCATGCATTTAAGACAGAGACAAGGAGGAATGTCTTCTCTCAGAGCGTAGTAAAGCTGTGAATTCTTCACTGTAGGGGCTGTCGTGGTTGGGTTGTTAATTATATGCAAAGCTGAGCTAGAAGCCTTTTCTACTGTAAGGGAATCAAGGATTACGAGGAAAAGGCAGGAAGGTAGAGTTGAGCATTATCAACTAAGCCATCATCTTGCTGAATAGCAGAGTGGACTCTGCATGGCCTTTTTCTGCTGCCACATTTTATAAACTTACCGTCTCAAGTAAGAGGTGCATGGCATCAAATGTGATTTCCTGCCTTCTTTCTCCTTGTTAGACTGCAAGCTGTTAGTTTGACACTGTCGAAGTAGTTACTGTTCAATTGAGTTACCATGCTGATTTTGTCCCCAGTCGTTCCTGTTGAGCCCTATAAAATCTAGCTCTGGCTGTTTCAAAAAAAAAAAAACGACAACGGGTCCTGATATCCCATTGTCTGGTCCAAAGATGGACAATATTCTGAAACCTTGTCAGTATGGCTTGATTTAAATACAGCACCTACCCAGGTGCTGTAGGTGCTGTGCACAAGGACAATTCTGTCTACAAAGTGGATTATAACCTTTGTGAATAGAATTTAATTATATGAATCATACCCAGATCCTTCTGGCAAAGGAAATGGTATTAAACATCCCACAAGATGTGATAACTTGGTATGTAAATATCTTTAATTAGCCAAATATTTCCAAGACTAGCAAGCACTTCAAAAACCAACAGGTCATCGACTATATAGAAAGCTTCACTCTCAACCTGCCTTCATTTGTTTTTGTGACATGAGCATCAGTGGCCCAAGGCTGTCATTTATTTCTCATCTCTAATTTCACTCAAGTTGATGGTGTTTGTGAGCCACCTGTTTTGAAATGCTGAAGTCCATTTGGTCTAGGCATGCCACACATGCTACAAGAGAGAATGCTCCAAGGTTTCGATCCAGCAGCAATGAAAGAATGGTGATATGTTTCCAGATCAGGATGATGAGCGGATTGGAGACGAACAGGTAGGTGGTGGCATACCCGTATATCACTGCTCTTGAACTCCTAGATAATAGAGGTCATGGGCTTGGAAGTTACTGTCTGAAGAGCCTTGGGAAATTTCTGTAGTGCATCTAGAGAGATTTAGTCAGGATGGTATGAAGGGAAATTTCAGGTGATTACATTTCTGTGCATTTGCTGCTCTTGTTCTGTTGGACAGTAGAGATCGCAGGATAGGATGATGTTATGGAGTTAGCCGCTATGCACATCATAGGTACTATACTCTGATGCGACTATGCTCCAGTGGTGGAAGAAGCAAGAAATCCTAGCCTCAGATATACTCCTGTCATCATTATATTTAAATGGCTCACCCAGTTAAGCTTCTGGTCAATGGTAACCCTAGGATTCTGTTATTGTTAAACATTGCCACCATAATCTCAGCCCCAGGACAATACGGTAGGAGTTCTTAGCTGATTTATCCACGAACTTCCCTCCATCAGAAGGTCAGAAATGGGGATGATTGCTGATGATTGTACAGTATTCACCAATACTTGCAACTTCTCAGATACTGAAGCTGTCTGTGCCGATGTACAGCAAAACCTGAGCAACATTCACACTTGAAAGACTTGCATCCCTCTAATCCAGCCTCAACTCAGGTGCAAGCTAATAATGCTGAAAGAACAAATACCAAAGAACAAATATTCAACTCAATTATGGATAAGACGCAAAAGGGAAACTTTTAATCACTTTTCCATCATACCTGGTCGTTCTGGTTGGATCTTCATTGCCAATTGTCTTACAAAGTCAATTGGTAGCTGTATAACCTCCTAAAATGAAGAGATCAAAGTTATTTCAATGTTTCTTAAACGGACTTCATTTCAAGAGAGCACATTTTTACATCAAGTGGTGACAAATTGTAACTAAGAATAATACAGTGCAGCCGAATAGAGAGAAGCCAGGCATTTGGGGAGTGAGGCAGTTCAGTGGAGCTTTTCTACCTTCTCTATCCTCCAATATTTAGCACAGGCAAAGATGCCAATTGATGATTAACTGGTAAATTAATTTACAGCTTCCCTTCTTAAAGGAACAACATTGGTCATTCTCCAGTTCTCTGGAAACTCACTTCAGGCTAAAGAGGATGCAAAGATATCTGTTAAGGCCCCAGCTATTTCCTCCTTTGCCTCCCACAGTATCCTGGGATAGATGTCACCTGGCCCTGGGGACTTGTCTACCTTAAAGTATTTCAAGACACCAAACACTTCCTCCTTCATTATGTTGATTTGCCTGAGTGTATTCCCACATCTTTCCCTAACCTCCATATCCATCATGTGCCTCTCTTTAGCGAATGCTGATGTAAAGCGGTCATTCAGAATCGCACCCATTTCCTCTGGCGTCACACATGACCTCCCTCCTTCATCCTCAAGTGGTGCTACTCTTTCCTTAGCTACTCTCTTGCTGCTAATCTATGCATAAAGTGGCTTGTCACCGGCACAGTCTGAAACCAGGGCCCAGTGCGGACTGGAAGCTAGGTGCCAGCATGGTCTGTTTTACAGAACTTTTACTTCTGAAATTCTGGACATTTTATTTCTCTATTGACTAAGATCTAACTAAAGAAGCTGTACGTCGGTACTTTTGTATCTAAGTCAGCACAGTAATTGGCAATGTATAAACTTTTCGTTATACTCAGAGTATGTGTGACAATAAAGGCTATTGATTTTTTAAGTCAATAAAATGCCTTGGGATTTGCCTTAAAACTGCTGGCCAAGGACATTTCATAGCCCCTTTTAGGTCTTCTAACTCCCCATCTGAGCTTCTCTGTACTTTCCCTATATTCTTTCAAGACTTGGTTTATTTTTAGTTGTCTTGACCGTAGGTATGTTTTTATTTTAAACTAAGCTGATAATTTCCTCTGCCATCCAAGGTTCCCAAATCCTGCCATTCCTGTCCTTCATTTTCATAGGAACATGCCTGTCCTGCACTCTAATCAACTGGTCCTTAAAAGACTCCCACATGTCGATTTACCCTCAAACCGCTGCTCCCAATCCACATTCTCCAAATCTTGCCTAATTCGGATATAGTTGGCCTTCCCCCAATTTAACACCTTCATTCAAGGTCCACTCTTGTCCTTACCCACAAGGACCTAAAGTCATGGAATTACGATCATTGTTCCTAAAATGCTGCCCCACTGAAACTTTCATCACCTGGCCGGGCTCATTTCCCAATATCAGGTCCATTACCCCCCATCCCTCACTGGACTATCCATAGACTGCCATTTCAAAAAACCTTCCTGGGCACACCTAATAAATTGCTCTTCACCCAAACACCTGGCACTAAGACAGTCCCAGTCAATATGGGTGAAGTTAAAATCACATATCAAAACAACCCTGTTATTTTCACATCTTTCCAGAAATCAGACTACACATCTCTCCTTCTATCTCCCACTGACAGCTGGGAGGTCTGTAGTTCAATCACAGCATTGCGAATGGACCCTTCAATTCTTGAGTTCTACGCATAATGCCCCACTACAAGACCTCTCCAGTGTCCTCTCTTGACACAGCTGTGTTATATTCCCTAACCAGAAATGCAACTTCCCCACCTGTTCTGCTTCCTCTTCTGTCTCATCTAAAACACTGATATGCTGGAACATTAAGTTGCCAATCCTGCCCCTCTTACAACCACGTCTCTGTGATTGCAATATCATAATTGCATTGTTCATCTGTCTTACACTATTTGGTTCAATGCAAGAACAGTCCAAGCCTCCAATTCCGCTGAACTCCGCAACCTCTCCCTGACTGCTCTTACTCTTCAGTTCGATTTGCATTAGGCTCAAGCTTTTCCCCGGTCTGTGAATAGCTAGGACCCAAGCAACGATTCTTGGCAGTCACAGCTTACCAACCTAAAAAATGACCTATTTATTCTTACTTTTTACTGGCTATTAATCCATGCCAATGTATTCCCCCCTACTTAAGTACTCTAAATCAGTTTATCAACCTGGTGTGCAGGACCTTATCAAAAGTCTTCTGAAAATCTAACTTTAACACACCCATTGGTTCCTCCACATCTATTCTGCATGTTACATCCTCAAGAGCCTCTAACAGTTTTGTCAAAGATGATTTCATAAATCCATGCTCGCCCTGCCAAAATTCTTATTTTCTAAGTGCCCTGTTATTGCATCCTTAATTAGATTCTGTTCTACCCATTGACATAACAATTGCCCTTGCCCACATTTGTGAACATCCTGCACCTTCTTCCCACAAAACTACCTGAAGCATCCCCTTTAACCTTTTGCAAGCAAGCCACCCAAAAATTCAGTGTCAAATGATAACCTTAATTTTGTCAACTTTATCCCAAGTAAATAGACAGTGCCAAAATAGAACGTAGGAACAAAAGGAACATGAATAGGCCATTCAGCGCCTTAAGCCTGATCTGCCATTCAATGAAACATGGCTGGTCTGTGGCCTAACTCCAAATGCCTGCCTTTGACCCATATTCCCTAATACATTTAAAATGTATCTCTCTCATTTAAAATTAACTAGATCTAACATCGACTGCTGTTTGTAGGAGAGTTCCAAACATCTACCACCCTTGGTGGGTGGACATGCTTCTTAACATCTTTTGTCAAGAGTGTGGCCCTAATTTTTTGACTACAACCCAGTGTGAGAATCTTCAAGCAGTGGAAAGAGTTTCTGTATCCACTCCATCCTATCCTGTTAATATCTTGAAAGCTTCGATCAGATCACCCCTTTAACCTTCTAAATGCAAGAAAAAGCAACCCTATTTTGTGTAATTTCTCATCACTTAACCCCCGAAATCCAAGTACCATTCTTATAAATCCACACTGTACTCCCTCCAAAAGGTCTACATATCCTTCCTAAGGTTCAACGCCCAGATCTGCTCACATTACTCTACATGGAGTCTAAGGTTTTGTAGAGCTACAGTCCTCATACTCCAGTCCTCTAGACATACAGGCCAGAATTCCATTAGCCTTCTTGATTATTTTCTGCCCATTTTCATGCTATTTTAAAGATCTATGCTCCTGAACCCCAAAATTTCTGGATATCCATATAATAAATATTGTACCATCTTATTTACTTCATATTTGTAACTGAACATTCACTTTAGCACAATTCAGGTGTGAACATTTCAATCAAATCAGGATGCTTGACATGCCAGCTCAGGTGAGCATCTCCATCCATGGCTGGTATTTTGTCCTGCCATTTGAAATTCGAACTCCTAAACGCAGCTGAAATGGAACTGGTTGACTTTCTTAGCATGTTGGTACACAGTATACATTTTGCATGCATACTGCAAAGTTAGCAGGACTATGGCTTTATAGATTCTTGGCTTGTTCAACTTAATCCTTTTCATTTTCAGACTGATGTGTGAAGGCTTTGCGCATATCTACAATTCTTGTGCCACATCAACAGAGACAGCTTGGGTGTGCTTCCACGATTAACTGCAATTAATATATATTTCATCAAACTGCGAAAAATGAAGTCAGTGTCAGCTGAGCAAGATTATTCCAAATTACAAATGTCAATGAACATAACTAAACATCAAAAGAAAAACACTGAAGTTTCCATACCCCTGGTTGGACAAAATTATCACCCAGTAAAAGCTTCATCACATGTTTACTGAAGTCAACAATGTTCTTTAGTCGACGGGGAGCTTCTTCCAATGCCTGCAAAATTAAATCATACATTAACACTTCAAAATGAAGTTGTACAAAAGTGGCATGTTTTCGCCTCAGTTTATATTTCAACCTGGTTACCGCAGCACCGTGTAACATTCTACGTATATACATAATACTTAACATTTGATTCTAATTCCAAATTATCAGTACCATGCATTCTGTGCAGTTGTTAATCGTTTCCTTTTAGTACGTTTCATATTTAAAATGCAAGTTCCATTTCCACACCCAAAGAAAATAAACCCATGATTACAGATCAACAATGAACATTTTGCTAGATATAGTCATCACATTACATCAGTATGGTGCAAGAAAAATCACATAATTGAACCTGCTTTAACAATTTGTTGATTGCTTTCCACTTCACTCTTGATTCGATTTTCCCCCCCATTTACTCCTTTCACAGCTGACGATAGCCAACAAATCTCTAGTTCTACTGTTTGTTATGTAGCTTGCCCTTTCCAGACAGAGCCATATTTGTGGCAGCTGTACAATTAAGAGGTTAAATCGATTAACCTATAACTTGAATCTAGGATATGGATAAAAGCACTTATTTTAATTGTATTTATTCGTTACTTTACTGCATTTTTATGTTGAATATCTGCATTCATTATGTAAACTGAACATTCTCACTGCAATCGTATCTCTTCTCTTTTGCTTCTTGTAAGATTCCAAAAGTAATAAATACTGTAGACAATTAGCTGTTTCACCTTATGCAAAGGACAAGCCAGACATGGCTTACATTTCAAAGGACTCTGCTGTTAAGTGTATTATCAACATGTGTATGGGAAATAAATGGAACAGGCTTATGGGGGCTCTTGTGGCACAGTGGTAGTATTCCTCTCTGAGCCAGGAGGCCCAGCTTCAATTCACACCATATATAGAATGCCGTGAGACAGAATTGGTTAGAATAACCAATAAACAAATCTGCAACATGGTACATTTCAAAATTTCTAAACACAGGAAGCCACCAGTTATGATTAACAAAAATGAAAATTGTAGAGAACTAATGCACAAGATCTTAACGGAAGAGAAGTATGGGGGAAGGAGGGGAAGGAAGGAAAAGAAGGGTCGAACAAAAAAAATGAACTACTTTCCCCCAGACTATTATTCTACATTAAATTTCGATCTTTACTTATTTCCTCTCACTCACTTTCCACGCAAGTAATTTGCCCAGCCAGATTATGTACTTCAATAGTGGTTTCAGATATTTCCTTTATAGTACATTAGATAAATGAACCATGATTGTTTATTTCTGTTGGCAGATTGGTGAAGGCTGATGTTTCTCAACATGTTAATGTATAAATAAGTCGGAAGCAAAAATTTTCAAAATAAAATTAAAAATTCAACCTAGCAATACTAAAGGAACTGTACTTTATCTGGACACAATGCTCACATGTAAAATTGCTTCTTACGTTGAAGACAAGACAATTAGGACATGATATGCCTTTTGCTTACAAGTCCTCATGTGGTGAAAACTGGCATTTTTCACAGAAACACGAGTTTCTCCTGAGTAAAGATTCTTGATTTTTTTGTTCAAACTATGTTGCAGTACACAATCACTGCAAATAATACAAAATTACTTTTCAAGGAGATAAATCTTGCTGAACACCTCTAACGCAAAGATTGTGATGAAGTTTTCAGAATATTATGTTTCTATGGTGACACTATTTTAAATCAAAAAAAGTCTAAGAATTTTCCTATCAACACCAAACAAATAGAAATCATTCTTCACCTCAAAGCATTCAATGGGTCTGGAGATTTGTGGCACAGATCACCCCTACCCTGATCTCACTTTGAAACTGACACTTAGTCAAGAAGATATCAAGGCTTCCAGCAGTAATATTATCAAGCACAGGACACAAGTAATCACACAAGTATTTCACTGAGCAAGCAAAAATGCACTGATTAAAATTTAATGAAAAGTTCAAGGTAATGAGCAAAATAAGCGATTGGGATATGTACTTGGGATTAAAAGGTAGAACCAGATGATTCAAAAACTTTTAAAAATATCTCAATGATCTGAAAATTTATCATAATGGAGAGATTTAACATCCCACAAACAAAATTAGTTTTCCAGAAAAAAAAAGAGATGTTTTTCCAACAGTAATTTAAGAAGTGTGCTGTTAGCAGGACGATACTTTTTCCAAGGTTTTTAAACAGCAAAATCAAGAGTAAATGGGCAATCCATTCAGTGATTTCTCCTCTATTGCGGTCTGTGACGTCAACAGTGCACTTGATATGGAAGTGTACAATAACTGAAGTCAACTTCTCAATTTTAGTCAAGCAGCTGCAGACCACAGTAGATTCACTCAATTTCAGTAAAGTATTGACAGTGAATTATGACAGTTTTAGCTTTCAACATTGCAAATAATGGTCAGCATAAAACAGTCAATTTTATTTGCGAGCAAACTACTTTAGTAGTAACAAATTATATTACCTGATTTGGCTGTGAAAGTTCCTTGGGAAATTTCAGGAAACGCAGTACTTGACAATGCTGCCAAAACAAAAATCTGAAATAACCATTTTGTTTCATCTTTGTACCTGCTTATACAAACATACATACAAGTATGAATAAACATATTAATAACATATGGTTCTACAAGACCAACATTGCTAGCTGATCAACTCCATTTCAGTAAAATTAAATTTGGCACAACCATGAGTGTAAAAAAAGCCATGAAATCAGTGTCTGCCAACCATCTTCAAAGAAGATTAAACAACTGAGTTCACATTGGCTAAGTGGTTAGCAGTGCTGCCTCACAGCACCAAGGACCAGGGTTCAGGTGACAGTCTATGTGGAGTTTGCACATCCTCCCCATGTCAGTGTGCGTTTCCGCTGGGTGCTCCAGTTTCATCCCACAGTCTAAAGATGTGCAGGTTAGGTGGTGCTAAATTTGGCCGTGCTGAATTGCCTTTGGGCAATTCATGTCTCAGGATATGCAGGATAGGTACAATAGCCATGGGAAATGCAGGGTTACAAGGATAGGTGGCTTGGGGTTTTGGCGGGGGGGTGGTTTGGAGAAGAGTCTGGTTGGGATGCTGTTCAGAGGATTGGTGTGGACTTGATGGGTCAAATGGCCTGATTCCACACTGTAGCGATTCTATGATTTATGATTCTATGATTTAAACATCTGCTTATCACAGAATTTATTGGGGGAGTGGCGAGACCATCTCCCCTTCAATAGTAAAATCAATGTCAAGGTTTTCATCAAAACCCTTGAGCTATTTTCTCAAATTTGAGTTTCATCTCAAATACCTGGATCCAACCTGAGCAACCTTTCAAAAACTATTTCATTAAAAATCTACATTATTTTGTTTATTATAGTATTAGCAATCAGAATTTGGTTTCTTGCCAGCTAACTAGCTGAACTTTTAAAACTAAAATAGCAGATATTAGTATGATGCTAAGGTAAACTATTGATAAACAAGAAGTCAATTGCTGTAAATCACAAATTATTTCAATGTCATATTTCTGTCAAGAAAGCCAACATGAACTTTATTCAAAATCCGGTTTTCAAAGAAACAGGAAAACAAAATATTTTAAAGAATCACAATGCCCAACTTACATAGTTCAATAGGACAGCATTTAGTAGCCACACAAATTCCAGAATTCCTGATTGAATTCTTAGCTTCTGAAGGTATATGTAATGACTCAGCAACCACAGCTCCCGAGTCTGGAGAATTCTAGAAATAATTAAACATCTGGATAGGCTGGGACTTTTTTCACTGGAGAGTCAGAGGCTGAGAGGTGACCTTATAAAATCATTGGTGGGGGGGGTGGTTTTAAGATAAATGGCAGGTGTCTTTTCCCTAGGGTGGGGGCATTTCAAGTCTGGGGACATGTTAAGGTATGAGGAGAAAGACTTAAGAACATCACGAGGGGCAGCTTTTTATCTTTACGCAGAGAGTGGTTTGTGTATGGAATGAACCTCCACAGGAAGTGGTGGATGTGGGTACAGTTACAATATTTAAGTAGTATGTACATAAGTACATGAATAAGAAATATTTAGAGGGATATGGGCCAAGCAGAGTTTAGTTTGGGATTATGGTCAGCATGGACTGAAGGGTCTGTTTCCATGCTGTGTGAGATTATGAGTTCTATGGTCTCAGTCAGTTAATTGCTTGGTGTTCCTTTGGCCTCAAAAGAGCTGTTCTAGGAATGGAATCAAGTTAAAGTTAAAACCCAAGCTGGCCTTCTGATCATTGTATGACATCCTCTGCATATATTTCAACCGAGAACAAGATTAGCCCTGAATATGATCTCCCGCAGCATGCGTCAGGGGAAAAGAAACTGCAAATACAATGCTCTGGTTGTTTTCATGCCAATACAGTGGGTTCAGTTATACAGAATACACTTTCACACTTGCCAAGTCACCTAGTCGTCTGTGCCCTTAGATGAAATTGATTGCTATAGCATATTCATTTACCCACTTAGCCAGCAATAAAGTTGCATGTGCACAGATTTAGGTCATTTCCAAACATATTTTATTGGCTATAGTGGCTGTAAGTGGTTTACTTTGCTAATCCAGAATTCACTGAACAGAGAAGTAGAAGTAGAGATTATCAATTTTAAAAGGAAAAGTGGATGACACGTAGAGGATGTAAACTTCGCAGCATTGCAGGGTCAGATTGAGACAAGATGCCAATTAGATTGCCGTATAGACAGCTTGCACAGACTTAATGGGCTCAATGGTACTCTTCAATCCAGAATCACTAGGATCAACAGCTATACATCCTACACCAAATTCTATCAACACAAGGAAAAAATATATGAATCTGAACAAAGCAAAAATGATAAAAAGCAGAATTTCAGTGAGATTATTTAGATTATACACACAATAATTAAATCAGCAGTACAAGATGGTGTTTGAATCTGCTAAATGTATTTTCACCACAAGTTATCAGTTTAAACCAATTGGACGTGAACAGAAAATTCATTAATTCATTCTGGAATGAAAATTTTGAAAAAGGATAAAGACAAAAAAAACTTTAGGAGACAACCACGAAAATAATCAAAAAAAACACAACAGTCTCACAAAAAGTCCTTAGGTAAAGCTTAGAAAGGGTAAACTTTATTTTCTAATTGCAAGTATGGATTATGACCTTAAGCGTGAAGAAGTCTTTTGCTAGTACAGAACTCAAACAATGCTTAAAAATGGACTAGAGGTTGAAACTTTTCATCTTGCATGAATCAGAACTAGGACACAGGAAAGTGTATATATGCGTGCATGTAACTTTTACACAGAATGAGAACAGCATGCAATTTTTGATCTTATTTCTCAAACCAAGTAGGAAAATTGATTGAGCAGGGCATTTTCATAGAGATGGAGAGTTTGACTGTTTCTTTGACCCTTTTTTTTTATTAATACGCTGCAATGTACAAATTCCTTTTACTCACACAAACAGGTTCTTGCATCTTTACGTTTGTAGCTTCTAGCACACACTGTTGCCATGGGTGATGATCTCAAGTTGGTCCTGTTGGATCTCAACACTTCCGGATTTTAAGTGGATAATTTATTTCCATTATGTTCGATCTGTCATGTTCTTGCCTATTCACTAAGCTTGTCCAACCTTCTTGAATCCTCAACTTACATTCCCACCTAGTTTTGCGCCAGAAAGTTTGAAAATATTACATAGAAACATAGAAAAGAGGAGGAGTAAGCCATTGGGCCCTTCAAGCTTGCACTGACATTCATGGTTGATCATCTAACTCAGTACTCGTTTCCTGCATTCCCCACATACCCTTTCATCCAACAGCCATATCTAAATCCTTCTCGAAAACATTCAATGTTCTTGTCTCTGTAGCAGAGAATTCCACAGGCTCACCACTCTTGGTAAAATTTGGTCCCCACATACAAATCATTTATGCAGATTGTGAACAGCTTCATTCCGGACATATTTTCCCCATCTGTTAACCAATTTATAAATCACTCAATCTCGTGCGCTCTAATTTGGTTCATTAAGCTGGGTGGCCCAATGGCTAGCACTGCTGCCTCTCAGCGTCAGGGACCCAGGTTCAATTGCATCCTCAGGCAACTGTCTGTGTGGAGTTTGCACATTCTCCCTGTGTCTGTGTGGGTTTCCTCCCACAGTCCAAAGATGTACAGGTTAAATGGATTGGCATGTTAAGTTGTCCATAGTGTCCAGGCATGTTCAGGCTGGATGGGTTAGCCGGGGTAAATGCAGGGTTACAGGGATAGGTAGGGGGTGGAATGCTCTTTGGAGGGTCAGTGTGGTTTCAATGGTCTGAATGGCCTTCTTCCACACTGGAGGGTTTCTATTATTTTTATTAAGCTCCCATGCAATAGCTTATCAAAAGCATTCTGGAATTCAAAAAGAGATCACACCCACTGATTCTCCTTCATCTATGCTGTAATAAGATCCTCAAAGTTAACTTTAAAAAGTTAATTTTAATTCCAAGTTGACTCTGTCCAATTTTTTTCTGGTGTTGAGTTATTAGAATTTATTATAAACTCAATAACTCTCCTACTTCTGATGGCAAACTAACAAGTCTGCAGTTTTCCATTTCCTATCTCCCTCCCTCCCCAAACAGTACAGTTACACTTGCTACTTTCCATTCAGAAATCTTTACAAGATCTGTAGAATTTTGAAAGATAACAACGACTATAACCACCCACTAACTCATCTGGTGCAACAGATTTTAGTCTTCGATCCCATTAATTTTTCCAAGCACTACTTCTGATAGCAATTTCCTTCAGTTCCTCATTTTCACAAGTAGCTTGGTTTCATATCATTTGTCAAAGATTTTCTGCATCTCCCACTACCTTTGTGAAAATGTAAAAGAAAAATCAAGGATAAAGAGTCTTACATCAAGTACCCTGACAACAGGAAGCTGAAGAAGAAGTTATCAAAAAAGTCAAAATAAAACTAAGGAGGTAAAAAGGGAAAGTGAAATTAAAGTATTGTGAACATAAAACAAAACTACAATGTAATTTGCAACTACACAACAAAAAAATAAAATGTAGATGCTCTGACATTAGGATGGATAGGATTAAAAAATATATCATAATAGTGAAATGGGAGAAATATTGAGATTTCTATTGAGACTGAGTAGTCACATCATCAGAAATTGAGATTAGAAATGGTAGTCTAATTTAGACTAAAAAGACTGAAGTGGATGAAAACCCTACTCCAGGTGGATTACATTCAAGATGAAAAGACCTTCTCTAAGATGTCATGTATTAAACTAATGAATAAAGGTCACAGCCAGCAAAATGGATGAATAGCTTGTTGAAAGCCAAAGCAAAGCAAAAAAAGGCAAAGGGTAACTTCAGGATAGTAAAAGGTGGAAACTGGTGTCCCACATTGATCAACGCAGGAACTGCAGCTGCTCACAACTTATATTCACAACTTAGAATTGGAACCAAAAACTGTTGCTAAAATTTATAAATGACAAATTTTTGGAAGTGGGCGAGTTAGTCAATACTGAATTCCATTAAAAATTACAAGACATGGCAAACATGCAGAATGGGC